GCCAGGCCCCCGGACCCGTGTGTCGGGAAGGAGTCCCCGGATTTCCCGACAGCCTCAATGACTTGATTAGTCAGTTCTCTTTCCACCTCTACAATTGGCTCAAAACATTTTCCTATTTTTTTTTCAGAATAAGAAATCCTAGGAAAGAATATGGAAGAGGTAAGCAGGAAAAAGTAGAAGCTTTGAAAGGTAATGAAATAACATCGTATTTGACGTAGCGGTTTGATGTAGGGGTTGTGCCTCACTGTTGTCCTGCCTTGGTAGGGGTTAAGAACAGACGCCCCAGATATCATGGCTCGCCTTTATGTGAACGCATTATGTTTTCTCCCAAGTAAATTTAAAGATCTTATAGCGATTTGGGGAAGTTGGCTGCACCATGGATATCTTAATGCGTTTGACAGACAGAGGATAGCCTGATATTGTTTATTTTCAACTCATCATACTTTCTAATCCTAATGTGTGTTCATTATAGTCAACCTATCTTTAATGACAAAACTGCTTTTATCCAAAAAAAACCTGTTAGTCGCATAATAATAGATCATGGCAATCCTAGCCTATAAAAATGTGTATCATAGAAGATGCAATTTTAAAAGGAAGAATTGGGGGGGGGGTGGATTTTATTTTGTATATTGCTAACCAAATGGACACATGCTATAAGAACTTATAAAAATTTCAGAGAATGTACCAGTTACTATAGAGGCTCTGAGTGTAAATTTTTTGAAACAATGCCAGGTCTGGTATTTGACATATATGAAGGCCAGATCACTGCCCTCCTTGGTCATGGTGGAGCTGGGAAAACCACCCTGTTAAATGCGATCAATGGACTGTCGGCCCCAACATGAGGTGAGAAGACAGTCATCCGACGGCAAGCACGTGGGCAAATGAATTAACTGTGCTTTTCATGAGCTAATTAATTTCACTGACTACTAGTCACACTCGGGCATTTAGTAGGAAAGTTTTAGAAGTTTTAAACTATTGTTTTACAGATTTATGTTTTATTTATTTAGGAAAATCTTTGTGGCTGAAGTATCTCATGATAAGTAGCTTTATGCTTTCTAATGGTTATTCCAAATCGGTCAGATATATTGTGAACATTAAATTTTTAACCTGTCCAGAGTGTATGGTATTCCTGATAGGGAAAATATGTCTAATGATTGACGCACACTGTTTTCCACTTTAAATATCTTAAATGAAGCATGGGACGTCACCTTGATGCTGACCCTCTACCTTCTAGGTTCGGTCACCATCTATAATCACTCACTTTCAGAAATGGCTGAGCCAGGAACGATCAGCAGGCTCACTGGAGTTTGTCCACAATCCAACGTGCAGTTTGGCTTTCTCACCGCGAGAGAAAATCTTAGGTTCTTTGCTTAAGTAAAAGGGATTCAGCCACATGAAGTGGAGCAAGAGGTAGATAAACATGTTAGATGTCATACAACCACGAAAATGAAGTTGTTTAGCTAGAATATTCTAAATGAATCGGTGTGACTTCTCCATGATTCATCCTCTAAAGGTCAAAAAAAAAAATCCTTTGTGATGAACAGCAAAATGATAGCATTTTTAAGAGAAACATTCTAGGTTTTGGACTAAATATCCTTTACTTTGTTAGGTTCAACGAGTTTTACGGGACTTAGAGAAGGAAAATATTCAAGACATTCTGGCTCAACATTTAAGCGGTGGACAAAAAAGAAAACTAACTTTGGGGATTGCATTTTTAGGAGATCCTCAGGTAAGCTGAACTCAAGTTACTGGCGAAATCAGATCGAGGACTGTGAAACGACTATATTTGATCACAGTTAATTTGCAAGTGATAGTTACAGTGAAAAACAGTTACAATGAAAAATTAAGTACAAAAATATTTCTCCCCCAAAATTGTACAAGTACAGTTGACTCTCAAACAATGCAGGGTTTGAGGGCTCTGACCCACCACGCAGTCAGAAATCCTGGTACAGCTTTAGAGTGAGCCCTCTGCATACGTGGTTCCTCTGTATTCATGGTTCCTTATCTGCAGATTCAGCCAGCCTGGGCTTGTGGATTACTGTAGTATGTAGCGACAAAAATCCACCTCTAAGTGGACCCGTGCAGTTCAAAGCCTTGTTGTTCAAGAGTCCACTATATAGTTGGTTTTTTTTTTTTAAAGAACTTTGCATGAAAAGAGGAAACACTTTTACGTGCTTTCCTACTGTGCAGGTTTTGCTTTTGGACGAACCAACTGCTGGATCAGATCCTCTTTCAAGACACCATGTGTGGAACCTCCTGAAAGAGAAGAAATCAGACAGAGTAATTCTCTTCAGTACCCAGTTCATGGATGAGTCTGACATCCTGGCTGGTGATTCTTGGTTTTCTCGCATGTATTTTAGTGACAAATTAGGGACACATATGGAATTGTATGGATGTGTCCCAGCACGGCTGCCATGCATGTGACCACCATGAGCCAAGGCATGAGGATTGTTCTCCCATCCATCGGGATGCCTGCATCCCCAAGTACATTGTCCCATGAGAGTGTTCTGCAAAGCAGCTCACTGTTTGTAAAATATATAGCATCCTCTCTAAGATACACTATGTTTTATGCAGTATGAATGCCAGTTGGCTTGAAATTTCCTTTCAATGCAAGATAATTTTCTAAATAGACTAAAGAATAAACTAACATACCATTTTTAGTTACTGGATGACAAAGAAAGTGGCTTACCTTGACCAGAACTAGAATGCATCTCTTTTAGTGGTTCAGGCTTCTAAAATACATTATTTACTAATGGATTTATTCTCTTATAAATAGTGAAAGGGTAACCCTTTAATACGATTTATTTGGTTTTTCCTGCTTAGATAGGAAGGTGTTTATATCCAGTGGAAGGCTGAAGTGTGCAGGTTCTTCTCTATTCCTGAAGAAGAAATGGGGCATCGGCTACCATTTAAGGTATAACCATCATTGTTAGGGACATGTTGGAACACACTGGGAATGTTGGGGACACGTGATATCAGTGTCAGTGTGTTAGTGTAGGCAACACAGTAAGTTCATTTCAAGAGGGCTGTGTTGGAACTACACCACAACTGTTCTCTTTCTTAGCTAGAAAAGGGTATGTGGGACTGTAAACACTGACAATATAAGAATGATTAAGCTAAGTTTAAATTAAATGCTTGGAAACTATTTTCACAACACATTATTTGCTAAGAGAAACTTAATGATATTCCGGTCCTCTCTCTTACCCTATTCCTAATATTTATTTTTTGTTGATCTTGGCAATTTCAATTGCCTCCAGTCTATTCTCCCTGACTTCCTTTTCTTCCTTATTTTTTGTCTCCTTTTCTTTCTGATAATAATTATTATCACTATTAAGTAACGTCTGTCACTTATTAGATGTTAGCTGTATGGAAGGTACTTGATAAGCTATTTACATTTGAGATACTCATATAATCATACTTAATCCTCCAAATAACTGTAGAAAGATGGTATTATTAAGTTCCTTTGACGTGTCAGGGAGTTTTAATAATCCATCCAATCTCACCTCATTTATGAGTGGTAGAATATTTGGACCAAGATTTCAGATGTGATATAAATTGCTCCTTATACTTCCCACTAAAGTATTAATATTTCTTAAAAAGTGATTCAGGTCACTTCATGCACAGTGGTGAAATGGGTCCCCTCCTTATTTCCTCCACATGTTTACCCTGACCTAATCTACCGTTCCATCATGATTGCTCAGTACAACCTAGCTGAATAAGTACACACAACTAACACGAACGGCTCATTCTTCCCTGGGTATGTTCCATAGTTGAGTGTCCTGTCTCTGCTTGAGGAGGACATCTGTTTGACATGTCTTTCTCCAACCCATTTTACCCATTGTCAAATCCCAGCCATTCCTGAAAGTCTTTTTGAATGATCTTTTCCTTAATAATAAGCATCCTCTTTTCTGGGGCCCTGAAAACACTATTTTAAATTGTTGCCTTGAGCAACTTAATAAACTTTGATCCTCAGTAACTTCATTTATAAAATAGAGTCAGTAAGACCTACTTTGCCATTGAGGCTAAAAATGATGAATGAATGAGTATCTGACCAGCCAAGGGCTTAACTGATTTGATTCAACTTCTCTCTGCCCTACTTCTTCTCTAATAAGCTGCTTTATATTACTGTTATGTTCCCAGCTCCTTAGGGAAGGTGCTACATTCTCCCTATTTGGTATCCTGGGTGGTGATTCACACAGGGCCTTGTAAACACAGAATAGTTTTATCTACAACTGATGTTTTTAGGTTTGTCTCATCAGTGTGAATTGTGAAGCCCTCATCATTCTATAGCCTCAGTAAATTTCAATGGACGTGACTAATAATGAGGTTTCTAACATCCAGTGTTTTCATGAAGAACTTGATATGTTCTCAGCCAGAAGACAGACCAGCTTTGAATAAATTTTGGACAGAAAAATATGCTAAAATTAGCTAATGTATTCTGAGGGTTTACCCAGCTCAAGGCCCCGTGTGCAACTTCATACATACTTTATTTTATTCTCTTTTCAAAGTTCTTTGAGAGCTGAGTATTCTTTCATGTCACAAGTTAGAAAACGGGTGCTCATAGACATGAAGCCTGAGTTCTGGAACGTGGATCAGCAGGACAGGGTGGTGACTGGACCAAATTAGCTTTTGTTTTTATCATGGTCAAACCCTCATTTTTGCAGAACTCAGACTTTATGACAAAGGGAGAATTCACCATTGAGTTTTTGAATAGACAGAGACAAAATTGGGCATTCCCCTCCACCTGACCCCAGCCACGATGGAGCCAAATATCTCTCTTCTCCAAATAACAATCCTTGAGTCAACTTACCTGTCTCTAATAATCCTATAATGATCTGCGTGTTGTGTAGACTAGACAGCTTGGACTAAATTAATACTTTGTCTTGCTTCTTCTATTAGATTATGCTTTTTTGCTTCATTGATATTAAGTGACAAACACACGCTATGGTTGTTTGTAGAGATAGCGTTGGATGAAAATAGCTTTAACTTACTCTTCTTACATGTCAGTTTGCATCTGAATGAAATGTGCGATCCAGACAGTATAACATCGCTTGTTAAACAGCACATCCCTGATGCCAAATTAGCAGCACAAAGTGAAGAAAAGCTGGTATATATTTTGCCTTTGGAAAGGACAAACAAATTTCCAGGTAACAGAATGCAGAGACCACAGGATGATTTATAATGCTGTTACTAACAGTGGTGTTTAGAATGATGGCTAACATTTTAGTGCTTGCTAAGTGCACGGCACTGTACATTAATTTATTTAATATCCCCAAGGTCACTTCCAATTTTAGCCCGTGACATTATCCCCACATCACTTATGAGTAAACTGAGGCACGAAGACACTGAATATGTTTCAAGTTGCAACACGTGCAATTAAAAGATACAGGGCAGCATCAAACTAAAATTTGGGCTGTTTGGGAAATTTGTTTCAAGAATGAATGAGAATGTGGTCCTGGCAAGAAAAGGTCTGTGAAAACAGTGGCAGAGTACTGAATGGGAGCGAAGGGAATGGCACACAATATGTAGATGGTTTTATAAACACTGTGACGTAACGTTATGATCTAAGAATTCCATCGTAACTGTAATCGACCTGTATGCTGCCAAACATTCACAGATCCACAACTTTGCTGCAAACACAAAAACCTGGAGGATCGCTGCCTTCAGTGCTTTCCTATCTGATTTCCCAATATGCTGTTTCGTTCTCCAAGGGTTCTGAGCTAGATCGCGTTAAAAAAAAAAGTGTAACCCGTAAAAATGTGTTTACTTTATTGAGTTCTGGGAATTTGCCAACTCTTACTGGAGCGTACTGATGCCATTGCTCACGGTTGGGCTAGGAAGCCTGCCACACTCACGGCCGATGAAGACACACAGCCCCGGGCGACAGAACACAGTAGCTGAAAGCTCAGATGCTAGAACCAGCCTGGCTGGATTCAAGTCCCAGCTGTGCTGTTACTAGCTCCGTAACCCCTAACAGGTGGTGTCACTTTTCTGCACCTCAGTTTCCTCATCTGTGAAAAGGGGCTCATACTAGAACTAACTTTATAGGATTTTAATAAACATATGATTTAATATATTTTAAATTATTATGAAAATATTAAATATGAATAAAGCACCTGGAATCCCACTTGACACATAGTAGCTGTGGTATTTTGTCAAGTCCATGGCCCCCTCAAGTTCGGTGTGTGCTACCAAGAAAGAAACCTAGAGAAACAATGCTGGCATTTAAAATGTGACCGACTAGGATTTATGATGCGTGCTCACTTCAGATACGTTAAAAGATGATGAAATGTACTCATCTTAGAGCCAGTGACATAGTGATAGACTTAGATGCGCACACAATGTCTTTGATACATGTATCGTTTACAGAGACGGAAAACTTCATGAAGCCCACAGGGCCAAGTATTACCTGGTTATTAAATGCATTTCAGAAGGGGAGTGCACAACTTAGACTAAGAGTGAAAAAGAACCAGCACGTAGGTGGGTTTAAGAACTCATTAGAAATCATGACTACATGTCTGTTTTTCTTTACCTAACACACTGTTGAGACAGAAATCTTTAATCTCTCCCAATATTGGAATTAGTTTGTTCTTTATTCTGCTCTCAGTTTTCCTGAACTGTCCAAGGATTATTCCCAATATCTTAAAGAAAAAAAATCTCTCCAAATGACCCTCCAAAATCCCTCATAAAGACTTACCCTCTTTCAAGGATCTTGTGCAATTTTTATACCACAGTCAGAAGCTGGAAGAGAAGCGAGAGAGAGAGAACTCAAGGTTACATAGTTTGCCCTTTCCTTCAATTTCTATATATTGATACCAGGAAAAGATTCTGCAGCACCTAATTATTTCGATAAACTTTAGGGGTTGTTTGTTTGTTTGTTTGTTTGTATTCGTTACTATATTGCCTAGCACTTATCCCTAATGTGAAAGCACAAATCTTTATTTTCTGGAAAAGATTCCTTAATTAATTAGGGTTTAGAATTAAACATTTCCTGTCTTAGTTCAGGCCATTGTTAACAGTTGCCAGCAGACTGGGTAGCTCACAGAAAGCAAGACACTTACTCCTCACAGTGCTGGTGGCTGGGAAGTCTAAGTTCAGGGTGAGGGCGCCAGCACAGGGGGTTCTGGTGAGGGGTCTTTTTAGGGTTGCAGACGGCTGACTTCCTGCATCCTCACGCGGCAGAGAGCAGAGAGCAAAAGCGAGACTTCTTGTGTGACTCTTAGGAAGGCGGGGGTCCCATTCATGAAGGCACCGCTCCTATGGCCTCATCCAATCTTAATTCTCTCCTAAAGGCCCCACCTCCTGATAGCACCACATTGCGGAGCAGAGTCTCCACAGGTGTGATTTGGGGAGACAAGCATTCCATCCATCCATAACACTTCCCATGATCTAACAAGCATTTAAAAACACATTAAATAAAATATAATACATTTTTCTAGGCATGAAAAAATAAACGTTTAGACTTTTATACTCAAGAAGGTATGGAAGCTAGCACACTGCGTAGTTTATTTTAGACATAAGGGACTGTCTATATCATAGTTTTGTTTCTGATGAATGCATTTGGCCGATCACAAGAGTTTCCTATTTTTTAAAAATATAGTTGTTGTCAGTCTCATTACAAATTATATTATTTTGATGCATTTTTATGCCCGCTTTTAGACCTCTACAGGGATCTTGATAGACGTTCAAACCAGGGCATTGAGAATTACAGTGTTTCCATGACAACACTGAATGAAGTGTTCTTAAAATTAGAAGGAAAATCAGGTGTCGATGAACCAGGTAATAAAATATGTTTTAACTTGAACTTTACCTTTCTGTGCTGTTATCCTTAAAGTATTCTTGGAATGATGACATTATGAGCTTTTCGAGGTGCTATAATTCAATATGGTCTTGAGGAAACTTACAGCAGATAGGAAATAGGTTTCTAACTTCTTTCCCTCTTCTCTCAGTGCTGGTCCCCTACCTTGAATTCCTTAATTTGTACCAGGGTTTTTACTAAGCATGTGGAATACAGCAGTGTATGAGATGAGGTCCTCATGGAGCAGACAACAAATATGCAATATAATATTCTTTGAGTATAAGTGCAACAGAGAAAAGAAAATTAGAACTGCAGGTTGTATGTCACTGTTGCCGTTGAAGGCTTTGCTGTCAGTCTAATTGCCATTCCTTGGAAAGTATTCTGCCTTTTTTCTCTAATGGCTCTAAGATGTATCCTTGTTCCTGGTTTACTATCAACCTACTATGTTTACCCTTTCCTGTGCCCTTTTCCTTTTTCTTTTCTTTCTTTCTTTTTTTTTTTCATTGATAAAGTGGGGGATCTTTTTGGTCCTTCTTTCCCTCTGTCGTCCACTTTTGAAGTTACACACTTAATATCTTTTTGTAGTGATTATACTCAATTTTTAATAAATATATAAAAATAGAAATAAAAAGAAAGCTATAGAGCTTTCTAAAAGTCTAGAGTTGGTCAGTTTCTCTAGGCTCCTCTTCCAAAAGAGGTAACTTTTGTCTAATTTTCAAACATGGGTGTATTAAAAATTTTGTCTCTACCAATTTCATGTTCTTTGGAGGAGAAGCAAAGTATTGACTTTTCCATCTTGGTCAAAAATACTAAATAGTTTGTCTCTTGCAATAAATAGATTTTTTCGAGGCTAAATATGGGTTTCTGTTCATTAAGTTCCCTAGGATTGAGTCCTTTAAAGCTTTAGACACAGAGCTGTTCTTTCCAGAAAATACAATATTCTCTTTTATCCTTATTTTTTCTTCTTGTATTATAACTTTTTTTTTCTTCTCTGTTCCTTTTTCTTTAGTAGTTGCTTTAGTAAAGCCCTGAATTAGAGTCCTTGATCCTTCCTTAAGGCTCTCTCCTTCCATTCGGTGAAAAGATGCCCATGGGGAAATCTGGATAATGCACATCTAAAATGGTGCTTCACAAGTTCCTGGTTTTGTGTTTTATAGATATTGGAATTTGGGGACAGTTACAAAGTGATAGGACAAAAGACGCAGGAAGCCTTGTTGAGCTGGAACAAGTTTTGTCTTCCTTCAATGAAACAAAGAGTGCAGTCAGCGGCATGGCCCTCTAGAGGCAGCAGCTCTGGGCAATGGCAAAAGTTCGCTTGCTGAAATTAAAGAAAGAAAGAAGAACTCTGTTGACCATGTGAGTACGTGAGTGTTTCAGGTATGTTTGATCAGTGCACTCAAAATAAATTCAAGGAAAAAAAACTGAGATAAAATAGATTTCAGCAACCACATATGATCTTTTTAATACAGAAACCAAATTTTAATTGCTTTGGTGGATATGTTAAATTAAATTAGATACAGTTTGGGATTTTTCTTTTAATTTTGCACAGAATCTGCAGGTTAGAAGCAAAGGGTTGAAGTAGTTTTTCAGAAGCATGGAAATTAGCACCCGGGTCCTATCCCAAAGACTTTCCTTTTTCCCCAGAGTAGCTCTGTGCCAGGCCATGTCGTAGCCAAGAATTCACGTCACTATCTGAAACTTACTATATGGGTCCCACATCCTCTACAGCGTCAGGCTCTTTGTTGAGTAATACCTCCCTCTATAAGCCTTCTCTCTACCCAGGGTATTTATTCATTAAAAAAAAACATGTGAGTACCCCTGCCTGATACTCTGTGTTAAATGTTTGTAACACTTACCAAAATAAACCAGACATGAGATTCGGCTTTGGAGGGTGACTAGAAGTACCCTAAAAAAGTCAATAAATAAAATAAAACAAAATAAAATTAAATTAAAAAAAGAAGTGCAGTAAAAAAGCATAATAAAAATTATACAATATTGTCAACTGTAGCATTCAGTACAAGAGAAATCATGTCCAAAAGGGCATAATAAAAAATAATTTTACAAGAGGGAGGATTTGAATTTGGTGTAGGAAAATGGGGCATTTAAGTAAGGAAAGAAAGGGGGATGGAAAATCCGGCAGAGAGAGCAGTTTTGGGCATGGAATTACGTGAGGAGACTGAAGAATTGTTATTAATTTGAGTTAATTGCAACATAGGGTGTACAAAAGAGTAAAGATAATTTTGATAATGTATTAAGTAGAGCTAAAGAGTTTGGACTTTATAAAAAAGTAAGGAACTAATGAGGTTTTAGTTTTTATTTTGAACAGGCCATTGACATAATTAGAACAGAATGCCAAGAAACTTAATTGGGCCACAGTGCAAAATGGTTTGGAAATAGTAGACATTGGAGACAAGGGAAACAGACATTTAGGACAATGTGAGAGAGGTCAGGATGGGGATAATTAAGGTCCAAGCTTGTAAGGGAGAGAAGTTTTGGAGGCAGGCAATAATGATGATACAAGGAGAAATTTTCAACCATTTGCTAAAGGGATGTAAGGGAGGGAAATGAGTAGGAAATGCTTGAGCTTCAGAGCTTGAGTGAATGAGAAAAAGTAATTTATAGAAATTGGGAACAGGAGAGGCTAAGGTTCAGGCTGTAGTGAGTCTGGGTGTTAGTGATACGCCAGGTTGCAGCGGTCCAGAAAAGGAAGAAATGCAAGACTGAAACAGAACAAAAAAGCAAGCACTGGAGAGAGAGATTTAAGAGTCATTCTCGGCCGACTTCATGAGCTTTAAAGACATGTTCAAAGGTGGGGAGGGAGAAAGGCATTTAGAGAGACAGGGAGACCAAGGTTAGATATATAGGAACCATCTCATTTTAGAAAGAAGAAAAAGGTAGGGGGGATGCATGTTCCTGTGTTTGGTTAGTGTTTATAATTTATTCCTATGATCACATCCATTATCTGCTCAAACTTAAAACCCTAGTCAAGTTGCTATAGGTAAATATTTTCTTCTACATTTTTCTCCATGTAGATTGTTGCTTTTTGGCATTAGCTTTTGCCCTCAGCTTTTGGAACATCTGTTCTATGAGTTATATCAAAAATGTTATTCTTGGGGACTGTCTCCTAACATGTACTTCCTCTCACCGGAGCAACCACCTCAAGCACCTCTGACCCACTTACTGGTCATCAATAAAACAGGTGAACACGGGGATGTGATGCAACGTTTAAACGCTGGTTCATATTGCGAGATTTACCAGACAACAGAAACCACGAGGGAAAAATAAATTCTGTACGTTTTAGAAAGTGTATATGAGGCCAAAAAGGAAATTAATTTCAAAATGAACAATACGAGGTTGGAGAGTTTGTTTTAGAAACACATTTTGCAAGTTTAGTTAAAGACTAAAGCTTATTGCACAAAACGGCAAAAGGGAATTTGGAAAGGCATTTACTGACTCATCTTCGAGATCTTTCTATAACATTTTCTAAGGACTGCACAGTCTTGAGCCCTGGGGAAAAAAAAACCTGTTCCAAATTTCTAAGACAATAGAAGATTACTATGGTCAAGGATTAAAATGTTAATTTTAAATAGTGTTTTTACAGGAACAGAAGTGAAAAGTCAATGCGATAGCTCTAGGCAAAGTAAGTTTGTCATATCCTTGATATCAGAATGGATTTAAGTCCCATAACATCAATTCCACCTTTTAAAGGAAATCCTTAGAGAGTCCTTATTATGGTGTGCTTTGAGTGACATGTTTAGTGGTTCTAAAAAAAGTGTAGTGGTTCTAAGAAAAAATTATTTGACCATTGTTTTACTTCATTTATGCTTCTTTTGATCTTTACCTTCCTGGTAGGATCAAGCATCGATGACTTCATACATTCCCTGAGGCAACAGAACATAGCTTTGGAAGTGGACGCCTTTGGAACTAGAAGTGGCCCAGACGAGCCATCATACGATGGTGCTATCACTGTGACAGGGTACGTCAGGCTCTGATTGCTGCATCTCACAAAGATGGAGTACAAACGTGCAACGTGAATAACACACATCAACTGACATGAAAGGCCAATTGGGCACGAGCAATTGGGATACTTCTTATTTTTAGTGGAGATGCTGGGCTACGATTCTTTGCCTGCAGCCTCCAGTGTATGATGAAATGCTGTGTGATTTTTATTCCTCATTAAGTTGTATACACTGCTATAATTAACAATGAATTTAAATCTCATTTAAATACAATTACTGGAATGGCCCAATAATTAATTTAAATCTTATTCTCAATTGGATTTCAACTCATGACATTTTGATGAATCTTCCAAACAGAAATCTGACTAATACCCAAACTTCAGCTCCAGTTACCCAAAAAAAAAAAAAAAATTGCTCTTAATTTTTTACAGTAGATTTTCGCATTGTTTTTATGGGCAAAAAAAGCTCAATTCTTACCAGCTAGCCTTTACCCAAATAGGTCAAATCTTCAGATAAATATTTATGCCCAAGTGTCTGATTATTTTTAAATGCCTTAGTTTCCCACGACTAGAAGTGCGATTCAAAAATCAACATCACTGGATCACTGGGAGCTTGTTAGAAATGCAGAATCTCAGGCCCCGCGCCAGGCTACTAAATTAGAATCTGCACTTCGGTAAGATTAGCATGCTCATTAAAGTTTGAGAAGGACTGCCTTGTTGGGCAGTATTTCACATACAGATTTAAGTTTCCAGCTTCCCTACAGAGAAGGTTACTGAATTTATCATAGTGATCTTTTCATAATGTATGCAAATGTCGGATCGTTGTGCAGTACACCTGAAACTAACATAAAATTGTACGTACATCAACATTTTTATTTCAATAAAAAATTTTAATGAATAAACTTCTGACTTCTCTTGAAAAATCCCTCCATATGCCAATTCTGACTGTCTTCAGTTTGAACTCAGAAACAGTTGCTTCAGATTCAGGATTTACTTTTCAATTTGCTACAGCTCCATCCTGCTCCATTTATTTATACTACCTGCCTGGACCCTGTGGGAGTTGGGTAGAGATCCCTATAGCCGACAAATGGAAAAAGACGAGAAGAGAGTGTTCCATGTATAAATCACAGCCGTTAAGTGTCACAAAGTTGGACTGTTTGCAGCTTGTCAGAGTTAATTCTCAGGAATAATTTCCATGCCAAAAATAAAGTCAGATGTTACCTTTGATCCAGCTAGTCCTTGATACGTTTTAATCAGGTTAGTTTCCAGGATACTGAGAAAAATAATTCTAAAAGAATAGCATTCTTAATGTCAATAAACATTAAAATAATTTGGTTAGAAACAATTCACCTGATTGATTTATTTATTGGGGAGAGATAATTTAGATTGATTGATTGTTTGACTTAATAGAGGTACTGGGGATTGAACCCAGCACCTCGTACATGCTAAGCATGTGCTCTATCACTGAGCTATATCCTCCCCTCCACTTGATTTATCTATGATATTTCATGCAATATAGATAATAATTTACTTACGTTTTATTTGGAGGAGAAATAATCATGTGTATATATATATATAGAGAGAGAGAGAGAGACATTTTTTTACCATGTGCTTTTCCCCCTGTTTTACTGAGATATAATTGACATACTGCACTGTATAAGTTTAAGGTGTACAGTAAAATGATTTGACTTTCATATATCAGAAAGTGATTTTAAAATCTCATTTGAAAAGAGATTTTACATGCAACACTACTATTGCAAGCTCAGTATTTGTGAAAGCATATACTTTATTACAACAGCTGCCTGGCTTCTGCTTCCCAAGTATCTGCACATTCTTTATTTGTAAAATGAACGTGTCACAGTTTGAAATAAAGCTTACTGCCATCTTAGAGTGAGGTTGCATTTATGGAGTTTTACAGTTTTGCTGCTATAAATCCTGTAAGGGGCTTTGTTTTGTGAGAGCTTAGGCATAAATAGCCACGCAGCTAACGCCGTGGTTGGGAGAGACTCAAACACTAGATGTCGCCGTATATTGGGAATTAATCAAATAATACAATGGATGGTGATACTAATCACATTCAATGCGTTAGCCTTACTGTGTTGTCAGTTTGAATGAGCTTTTATTAGGTTTTGTGTTTGCTGCCTAAGAACTTAGAATACATGTTTGTTATATTTTAGGATCGCAGATTTTCCATAGCGTGTAACACCAAAAGGCTGAACTGCTTTCTTGTCCTCTTGGACATTATTAGCAACGGGCTACTTGGAATTTTTAATTCTTCAGAACACATTGAGACTGACAGAAGCACATATTTTGAAGTAAGTATAAGATGATCTCACTTATCCTGAGCCACAAGAAGTTTTCAAGAAAATACCTGAAATGCTGAAATAGCATGTTAGTTTTTATGAACTTATTCTTGAATAAGTCTTATGTACATATAAGTTACTACATATATGTTAATATATCTACACATATAGGTATACACACATATACAGTGTTTAGCAGTGATTACATAACATTATAACCTTGCCTAGATGACCTAGGGCCTATGGAACATCAGGAAATACAGTTAACTGGGGAAAAGAAATGAGGGCTTTTGGTCTTAGATCTGTTACCATCTGTGGCCCTTGGTAGTAGGACCTAGTTCAAACAGCCAGCATTTTAAATGTCAGACCATGTGGTCTTCTAACAACTCGACTTTTGTAGGCCTTGGTTCACCAATCCACAAGAAAATACAGATGAAAACGTTCTCACAAAGATTTCTTAAAAAGGACATGAGGCATTGTGAGCGTCAGGGGTAGCTGCCGAGTTACCATGAGGACAAGGGACGAGCACAGAGAGAAGCCTGGGCGCTCAGTAAACCGCTCTTACCGTCATCATTGAGGTTAATACTGCTTCCTCTTGGGAATTCGGCAAGTTTCCATGAAAGAATGTTCAGCTTTGACTAGGTCAGGGGACTGGCTGGATTAGAACTAGAAGACGTTCTTGTTTAAAATATAATTTGCAACCTGGCTCAGAGCCTCTGAGTCAGAGTCTCCACAGTGGGGAGGAAGGTGTGCAAATCTACATCTTCAAGTCATCCTTTTCCTCTCGCTGTGTTGAATCTCCCTTTGCCTTCTTTAAATGACACCTTGGGCATACCCAATAGCTTCCTGATCATTTTTTTGTTATTAAGAATTATTCCAGTGCCATCCGAAACTTCAGTTTCCTGTCCAACTCAAACACCGCTGGGTCAACTGTGGCCTAAGGGATGTGGACCAGGGTGGGTGGGTGGGTGGTGGTGTGATTTTCTTTAATGGTGAGATAACAGGTCACAAATCAAATCAAGGCTTCTAGCAACCCCCAAGAGGCCCTCCTTAAGCTGTACAGGGTTTTGAATTCTTTTTACTTCAGTGCTTTTATGTGGAACGTGCGCTGACCGTTCTTCTCCAAGCCCCATCACTTTTACTTCCGAACATCCACCTACTCGTTAATTTATGTCTGCCAGGACTTTGAAGGCATTTGAATTTGCTCCTAATGCATTATGTTGAGCTAGAGGAGTGAATCTTCATAAACGCGGAGCTGATCTGATTTGGCATCGGTTTCTGAGGGTAGCAGAATTAGCTCCTCCATCGGCAGTCCTCAAACTCTATTGTCTATGAAAACATCAGCCGAAACGTTGTCCTCACACAGCTGGAGCGCAGGAGTTTCACGCTTACTTCACAGGTTATTAGCCGTGGGACCTTAGCCAAGTCATACGACTTGGTGGAGTCTTGCTTCTTCATGCATAAGTCAGGGTACGTGTCCAAGTGTCCAAGCTGCCGTAGCGCATGATTGAAAACGAACGTGGGGAAGAAGTTGCAAATAAGCCCTTAAGAAGTGCTTTGGGTGGTTTGACAGATTCACTCGTTTGAACAATTTAGTTTAGAAAATACAAATGAAGCCTGGGCCCAGTTGCCATCAGCTCACAAGTTCTGCCTGATTTCAGGAGCACACGTCCTACATATGAGTCCGGTTACCCGAGCAGCGCCGCCTTCTGGATCCCGCTGACAGCCTGTTTCACCCCTTACATTGCCATGAGCCGTGTCGGCGACTATAAAGTAAGAAGAGTTAACAGCAAAGTCCTGATGTGTTCTTAATACCCAGAGAACCTTTCCCTGTCTTATACACGTACATTTACATGTAGGAGCTGCACCTCATTTATGTGCTTGAAACAACGAATAGCCAACCATTTTAATAAAAGGCTGGCAAATACTCAGAAAATGCTATTTTTCTTAATCAAATGAGAGACCTCAGGAAGGGTGGCTTAGGAAGTGTTATCACCTAACAGGGAACGGCAGCTTCTATCTGGCATTTCACTTGGCGTTTAATTTGCAGCCACTTACCCACCAGCGTGGTCACATCCGCTCGGGGATGGTTTCCACTTTCCAGGTGGTGGTACAGTTACCCAGTTAGACAGTTCACCATAGTACTTTGGCTTATTGTTCAAAAAGACTGTCCCTTTAAAGCTTCATTTTTGTAAGGACTTTATAAAAATTTGAGAAGCCCATCGTGGTCTTTCTGCCTCTCCATGGTATTCTGTGCCACTGAAAGGCCCTTTGTGTGTCCCCATGTCCTTAGCACCATCGCTGGTGCTCTCTTTGTGCTGTTAAGCCTTGTGAACGTTCAGGGGATGGTGGTGGACTTGAATTAATTTTAATTTATTCTGCTCTTAAACTCTCCTTATCTTTAGCAATTTCTCCCATGAGAAAACAAAATAAAATGCCAAGTATAAGTGCACTACTTATGTTCAGCATAAAACTTAAGACTCTTACAGGAAATTGTAAACCTACTGAAACTTTGTGCAACTTGCAAGTCTTCACAGTGTCAGAGGGAACAATAGCTTTGAAAAGAAAAGAACAAATATCTTCTCACTGAGGCAATGCCCAGTCTGCTGGAATGCTATGTTGGTAAATTTTCCCTTTAAGACAATGAAGTAATCACAGAGTTTGCAGCATTATTAATGCTCCCGAAATAGGAATGTGGCAAGTGACAGTGTCATTTGCTCACTCAGCATAACACGTAAAAGACGTAGGGAAAATTAATGATTTTGTGACTGCATATTTGCAATTTCTCAAGCCTCAATAGTTTGGGACCTTTTAATAATTCTTCTACTTCTTTATCAGAAAAAAGCTCACTCCCGGCTACGGATTTCAGGCCTCTGCCCTTCCGCGTACTGGTTTGGGCAGGCACTGGTGGATGTCCCGCTGTTCTTCTTGATCCTCCTCCTGATGCAGATCGTGGATTACAATTTTAGCCCAGAGGAGGTTCTGTTTGTAATTCAAAGCCTGTTGAACGTTCAGGTAAGTGGCCAAAGTTATCAAACGGTTTCCTTAGACCACTTCTCATGAATGCAATAACGTTATTCATCTTAAGCCAAAGAACTTCACGGTTACCTTTGTTATAGCATCATTTTGAAAAGTTGAGGTTTAAGAATGAATATATATCTAGAGAGCATTTACCTTGCACAACTTTAATGTTTCTATTTTCAGATCCTGTATAGTATTGGATACGTCTCATCTCTTATTTTCTTGACATATGTGATTTCATTCGTTTTTCGCAGTGGGAGAACAAACAGTGGCATTTGGTCCTTCTTCTTCTTAATTGTAAGTATACGTACAGTGCATATTAAACTATTTTCAATGATTCTAAGAACACATATTTTAATCTTTGTACTCAGTGCAGTGGTAAATTAATATTGCTCTTAGACTGTTAGACTTTAGAGAAGCTACGTTGTGTTTTTGTTTCAGATCACCATCTTCCCCATGGTTGCTACCGAACTAAATGAATATGGATTTCTAGGGCTGCTTCTCTGTACCATGTTAATACCACCCTTCACATTGATTGGTTCCCTGTTTACTTTTTCTGAGGTAAGTCATTTCACTCCCGTCCTTGGGTCATGAAATGTGTTGCCTTTGCAGAAAGCCATGGGATGTGTTAAATGTATGTAGAGTCCTTGGCCGTACAGTGTCTACAGTGTGCCTTCAGAAAGCCGGTTCACTCACCACAGGCCAGGGTCGCGTTCTGAACCCACAGGAAGCCCCGCCGGGGTCCATGAAGGTCAAAGGCAACTCCACCGTGGCGGAATCTTACACTTCTCATAATAACCTTCACTCCTGGGAATAAATGACCCTATTGGGAGGCTGAAGAGATGCCCTTTTTCTGTTAATTTTGGACAGTGGAGAAGTGGTGGGTTGGTGGCTTGGAAGTTCGCCAACTCCAAATTATAGAGTAAGGAACCTGAAAGAATAAGATGTAGGGGCAGAGAGAGCATAGATCAGGGAGCCTGATGTTGATCTTGGATATGATACGGTTCTTTGAAGTGGGTGACTGCAGCACTTAGAAGAACAAGACCATCTGAAATAAAGTCAGGATCCTGGCAAATCATCTGGTATGGAAAAAAAAATCATCATTTTTAGACAGTGGACAGCTGTGATGGCTAAAAATTTATGACACTGACTTAAAGTTGCTCAGG